GATTTCGAGACACGTGATGCAAATGTTGATTTCACTCTAAATTCTGACCACACGCCAAAAATGGACATGTGATTTCCAACCCTGATTGGATATGATTCTCCAGATCAGACAAAAACTGTTAAATTCCCACATTTGACTTGACAGAAGTCTACCTGACATTTCAATGTTGTATCCTGAACCTGACTTGGGGCATCCCTAACATGCCTGTGATGAACCCTGTGATCTCAGTATATGTGAGATTTTAATGCAGTAAACTTCTTGAAAACACGTGGGCAATCAGGCACGCCACGTCTAAATTCAGGATTAGGAGTACTTCTGTGCAATTTCATATGCTGAGCAAAAAGTAAGATTGTACTGCTTTCATGATAACAGAGTTGGCAAATAAACATTTTGTAGAGAGAGGAAATAAAAATGGAACTAACAAAGGGACAACTAACTACAGCAAAAGGTACATGCACGTTGGCCACATTAAGCCTAAAAAAGACAACGCCCCCCACAAAAGGTAGCTTACGATAGCAAGCCACATTAACACAAGCATGCGTGACTATCATAGTTTATTTTCTAGCTACACGTCTTTGTGCACTTAAACGCTAAATTGCCTTTGTAATGCGACAACGTGACAACGTTAATGGATGAATCGATAAGACATCAAGGCACTCAAAAACGGCGCTATTCACACGGTGCGGCCGAAGTGTATAAGGTGTGCTGTTGAAGCTAGTTAGCTAGGTTAGCTAGCTAGCGTTAGCTTGCTTACTTACTTAGCTAGGTTAGCTCAGAGAATCCGTGAATCCGCAGAAGAACCAAAGCGATTCAAATGGTCATGGAGAGAGTTCCCGAAAGCTTGTGATGTCTGAGGCGAAGTAAAACCAGAATATGCAATATACGTTATAGCTAAAGACTTCGTTTCAGTGAACCTCAATTTCCATAAGCCGTCCGTTAACTTTAGCATAACTTTTAGCGACGGAACACATCATACATCTAACAAACGCGATGAGGAATCTAACTTACACAGCCACCTTTAATCACATGTCTTGTTGTAACTTAGATAGCTAACCTAACTAGCTGTAGCATTAAAGTTGCTGTGCTGTGCTGGTTTAGCAAGTTCAGAGAACGTAGGTCAGCTAAGTGCGGCGGACCAGACACGATTACTATTAATCACAGAAAGCAAAAACTCTCAGCTACAGAGGTCTGAGATAAAGCAAACCTTAGAAATATAATCTCACTTGTTTGACAAGAATAAACAATAGGTAACGTTAAGAATAATTCGTACTTGTTTTAGTGAACACCAGGTCCAATGAGGCGCCACAATCCTGGTTCAAACCTACACTTTCAGAAGTCGTCCGTTGGCCATCCCAGAGTTCCTTTCGCGTTCATGAACTTGCTGTAAATTCTACAAAAAACTGTTAAGACTGGACAGCAGCTCCCATGAATCATCGCAAAATAGAGTACTATGCAGTAATTTCAGAATACAGGATGTTATTGTAAATATTTGCTGTAGAAATTACAGCAATTGTTTACAGTGTGTGCAAGCAATGAAAGTCTGGTTGCTGAATAATGACAAGTAAAACAAGTCGGCCAATACTGCAGCGTCAGGTCCTCAGATGTGAGCTTTATTGCTCCAGACAGAGGTTTAAAGCTGTGTTTAATGTGTCGTAACACTTATCGTCAAGTACTGCAACAACAACAATCGTTTTTATTTCGTAATATTAAACTAAACCGTCGCGGTGAGAGTCTTTGTTTGGCTTTAGATCCTGTTGTGTTGTTCGCTGTGAAGGTAAATTAAAGATAAAGCGTTATTTACACAGAAATAACCTAAGAAATCCTGAGTGCAGTCCGTAACGTCCACATGTTTACGTAAAGCGCGTGCACGCGAGGGGGAGTCGGATTCTGCCGGGGAGTCGGAATTCGGCACAACACCTGTATGTCAGGGATACGGGATTTCTTTCTCCGGGAACTCTCTGGAAACTCAGATTAAACTCCGTTTAAGAGCTGAATACGAGTGAGCGCGCGCTGTCACAATTACTGAAGGTAAAGGTAAGGCACGCGCGTTATTCACCTACTCGTCCGTGTGTTTAAGCGTGTAGTTCTGAGACCGTGTTGTTGCTGTTGGAATAGCAATAGACTGACTAATCAGCAGCTGCCTGACCAGTCTGTCCACTCTGTCTCCGCTGTCGGCTTACTGGAAACAATGGTCCCATATGCAGTGTCCAGGCCTCAGTATGACCAGCAGTGACACCAGTGAAGAAGCTGGTCACTTACATTGCGTTGACGAGCCCCTTAACTCCTGTTACGTCCATAGGACGTACGTTTCGTTTTGCGTGCTTGCGTCCCTTTCTTTCTTTCTTTCTCTCGCTCTTATACTCTCGCTTATTAGGAACCCGCCCACTTGTGCGTGTGATTGGCTGGAGTCCCGTAACGAAGTTTCATCTGATTGGCTGGCTGAAATTGCATGGCGTATATCTTCGACGGCTGCGCCGGATGTCGTCGAGGCTTTCCTCCATGGCGGCTTGGGGCGATTGTTTTTAGATCCGAACCGCAGCGCAGCGTGTTTGTTTTATTGCTTGCGATTGTCTGTTCTCCTCCCAAACGGAATAGCTTAGCTTTACCTCTTGTTCTCTACCCAGTTATCTCTGCAGTTAAACCGTAAGCTCAGGATCTGTCTCTGGAAATGTTCACTCTTATGCCGACCAGGTTGTAGGAGTGGGTGCCATTTCTTTTGACCTTGTTTTCTCCTGTTTTTGGTGCAGTTAGGGAGTTAGGAAAGACTGACTGTACTTTTGTTTCTTTATGTTTACATAGGTAAGTTAGTTCTCTAGCATCTCTAGCTAGGCTGGTTATGTTTATTGTTTTGGCGCATGCCCACTCTGACGTTCTCCTGTGTCGTATACACAAAAGAGCAGCATAAAAAGCATAAAAAGAGAAATAACACGACTTGACCTGTTTAAAGGTCAACTGGCTCTCTTTTGTCCTTTTTTTTATGTTATGATCATCACAAACC